CTTGCCCACTTCGGGCCACATCCCCTATTCTGGACTGTCTAGCCTCTCCCCCTACTCAGAGGGTTTCCCCAGGCCTAAGCTTAACATATGATCTGAGCTCTGAGAATCACCTCCTTCCAGCCATCATACTTAGCACCATATGCCCTCTGACCCCTTCTGTCTTCTACACAAGAGCATTGCGAAGGACTGACTTGGCCCCAAAAAGGTTTGCCTCCGCCCACCCACCCATCCTGGTGCCAGTCCTCTGGTGCTGGCCTCGTGACTGATCCCCCTTCCATCTGGGCCAGTTCAGCCAGAAATCTTCCTGCAGGTCCAGTGCTGAAGGTCCAGTGTTCCCTGCCAGAAGCTGCCAGTGGCTCCCTATGCCATGTGGGGTCAGTGAAGATCCCCAGCCCAACCATTTGTTTTTATTTTCTACTTGCTGCCATCGCCTGCTCTGGGAGTCAAACCACACGACTTCCTGTTCTCTGCCCTCAGTCTCCAAGTCCCCATCCTTTCCCTCCGCCTGCCCCGTGGCAGCCTCCCTTGGGCGCAGCCGCAGATCCTGCTCTCCGAGGCCAAGCTCTGCCCACCCCCTGCCCTAGCCCTCTCCTCACTTCCCTGGCAGGAAGTAGCACCTGCCCCCAGGACTGCCTTGGCAGCTGACACATTCAAGTGCTTCCTCCTCCTCTGAGAGTGATGTATAATAGGTGCACTTGGTCTCCAACCCATCCCAGCGGCTCCCCGCGGGCCCACCTGTCATACATTCTCTAAAAATTCAAGAGCTCAAGTGTGTATGATTAGAAAGGCTGGAATCATCATCTGAATTTCATGGTTTACATGGAATCTGTAACGCCCGGGTGGTTGGGACCATTGGGTGGTGTTTGTCTGATGTTAACACATTCATCAGCTGCTACTGTGCTTTCTCAGGTGCCAGTCTTCTGGGTGCCCGGGACTTGTCTCGTGGGCAGGGAGCTAACAGTCAAGGAACCGGTGAACTTGGCTCCTGGGCAGGGAGCTTAAGGGAAGAAACAGGGGTACAGGGAAGAGGGCTTGACATTTTGTGAGCATCCACAGTATACTGGTTACTGGATTCAGGAATGTTATTAATGGGCCACGCCGGATAGAGACCAGGTCCCCAACACCATGCCTCCTGCCCGCCCCTATGACCTCTGTTTACAGCAGTGGTCTGTGGTTTGTCATCAGTTAAGGCCTGACCTTCTGGCACTAGATCGTTAGCTTAGTTTCATTACAAGTTGGAATGCCAGAAAGGAAAAGAGAGAAGAAACGTAAACTAAGATTTGTCCTGTAAAAGCATTCATACCGCTGTCGAAAAGCCACTGGCCTTCACCATCTTCCGTTTGGCCACCCACTTCCTTGAGGCCAATGGAAAAGGCCTGTTTCCACTGAGGACCTAGGAATCTGTTGGCCCCTGTCTGATCGCTCCTGGGGTTTGCCTTCCTGGTAGACCAGCGCCATCTAATGGTGAAAAGGATAACCTGAAGCTCTGTTACCTAAACCGGGCCTTCGGTTTACAGATATTTGTCTTTGTTCCTTAGACCAAGGACAAAGAGGGGCTCTCCAGGATTGCACAAAACTCAGCGAGAAGTTAGAATGTGCACGATCTAACAGCTCATCTGTATTGCAGCATTGCTAAATCCATATTTTAAAGTTCATTCCGTCAATAAACGCTGCCAAAGAAAATACTTTCTTTGATTCTAAAAGAGATATGAGCCGAGACCGGTTTGGCTCAATGGATAAGAGCGTGAGCTTGGGGACTGAAGGGTCCCGGGTTCGATTCCGGTCAAGGGCATGTACCTTGGTTGCGGGCATATCCCCTGTAGGGGGTGTGCAAGAGGCAGCTGATCGATGACTCTCTCTCATCAATGTTTCTCTCTCTCCCTTCCTCTCTGTACAAAATCAATAAAATATATATTTTTAAATAAATAAATAAATAAATAAATAAATAAATAAATAAATAGATAGATAGATAAAAGAGGTGTGAGTCACCCACAGTCATATCTGTTACATTAAGATTAGCCCAGACACGGGAAGAGCAGGCAAAAGAGTGTGATAAATCATATAACTTACTGCAGTGAGGCCTGAAGAACATAGCTTTGCTGTCTAAAGTTCAAACTCAGGGTTCCACCCTCGGCGTTCCATAGACTGCTTTTCTTGGCCGAGTCTCTCCTGACGTGGCAGCTGGGAAAACAGAAATGGACGTGCTGAAATTGGCCGTTGAGTGTGGCTGTGTATGGCCTCGGTGTGGGTCATTTATCCGGTGGGTTTTGAAACTGCCATTTCCTAAATGAGCTGTGAGGGTCCGCAGTGAAAGAGGAAGTTTTGTAGCCGACCTCCTCTTCCCCAATGGGTGGGCAGGGGGACTGCAGCCACTGCCTCCTGCGCTCCCGCTGTGTTTCACTCAGCAAGGTGCCTCGGAGCAGGAAGGAGCGCTGAAAGGTGCGACCTTGAGAACAAAGAGTGCCTTGCTGGCTTGTGTTTTGGCAATGGGGCCTGGCCTTCCCTGGTGCCTCTGCCAAAACCAAATCATTTCTTGCCAGTTACCAGGAAAACCAGTTTTCACAAGATGCGTAGGATTCTAGGATAGAAACGGATTTTAAACTGTAGTAAACTGGGAACACTCTGGAAGGAGTTATCTGGTCCCTCTTCCAGTCTTTGGACAGAGACAGTGTTATGCCCAAGTGTCATAAACCCCAAAGACTACCAGGGAGCCGAATCCGATGCAATTGCAGAGAGTCTGTATTTATTTCGGACTAGTCCGAGCCCAGTCTCACCCACACCAACGAGGGCATGGGCGAGAAAGAGGAAGAACTTAACATATCAATGGGTTTTATAGGGAGGGCGGTGCTGCTACCTTGGCTGACCTGATTGGTTGGGTTAGGCCTAGGGTCCAGTTACCTGGAGCTGGACCCGCCCCACCCTGCCCTCTCACCCCACCTGCCCTCTCGCCCCGCCCTGCCCTCTCACCCCACCTGCCCTCTTGCCCCACCCTGCCCACTCAAAGGGAGATTACTTTTCCTCTTCCGTCTTTTGGGTTGGTTGGTTGGTTGGTTGGTTGGTTTTTTTTAATTCTCACCGGAGGATATTTTTCCATTAATTTATTTTTAGGGAGATTGGAAAAGAGAGGGAAAGATATTTCTCTCTAGAAATATCAATGTGAGATAAACATATTGATTGGTTGCCTCCTGCACCAGCCCTGACCAGGCCCAGGCCAGGGAGGAGCCTGCAATCGAGGTATTATACATGCCCTTGACCGGAATCAAACCCGGGACCCTTTGGTCCTCAGGCCGACACTATCCACTGAGCCAGACCACTTAGGGCTCCTCCTCAGTCTTATCAAGGCATGCTGCCCGGGATATTTTTCCACCATCAAGTTTCTTGTGAGAAAAGAGTTAGAGATTTCACACTCGGGAGGAATCATAGCGGGCCTCCTATACAGCAGCCCTTCCAGCATTTGAAACCCTGAGTGACCTGCAGGAGGTCCCAGACAGAACTGGGCATCTCCCGAGGGAAGTGAGATGGAGTGGAGTGGTGGTGTTAGCTGTTCTCAGACCTAAGAAGTGGGTCAGAGATGGGTCAGCTCCACATTGGACCAGTTCTGTAATTCTGAGTTGCCACAGGTTCAGTTTGGCATCTGCCATTGCATTAGCTTTCTCCTGGTGGTCACAGCTGGCGGCAGCCATTCCAGAGTCTCACCCTCACTCACCCGTCCCCAGGGCGGTGAGGAGAGGCTGGGCAGGTGCTTCGCTTCTCCTCAGTGCGGGCATTTTTCCGGACTCTCCTGATGTCTCACTGGCTAAATTCTCTCACTCATGGTTCCAGACTGAATGTGCTCCCCCCAAATGCCTATGTAGACACCTAAACTCCCAAAGCGATGGCCTTGGAGGCAGGGCTTTTGGGAGGTCACTGGGCTTAGATGAAGCCACGAAGTGTAGGGTCATATGCATGACAGGGACACAATAATAGACACTAAGGTAAGGGGCCGTTACTGGTGTCTGAGTGAGCACACTTTTGAGAATAAAGGGGCTGCTAACAGAGGGAATACCTGCACAGGGTGTCATCCGGCCTCTGGAGGAAAACATAAATATACGGTCACCTTGGAAACCAACACCAGTCCTGTGGAAGAAGCAGGTGTTAGAGAGCATGGGTGTGTGACGGGTCCAACCAGCAGGGGCCCTACCGCGCTGTTGGCAGTACAGCATCAGGTTCCAAGAGAGTAGCAGTTGGGCACACAGAGGTGGGGAAAGCGGGCAGCAGTGTTAGCAGATCCAAAGAAGAAGGGCTGGCTGCGTCGGAATCTACCAGCACTGTCCAATGGGGTTGTTGGCAGTGATGGGTGTCTGCGATACCTCAAGCCACTTACCTCGCGTGGCTGTTGAGCAAATGAATTATTAATCACAAATAACTTAAGTTCAAGTGTAAGTAGCCACACCTGGCGACCGCATTAGAAAGTGCTGGTTTGGATTCAGCCAGGAGAAAGGTGAAGCAATCATCAAAAGCAGAACAGGAAGTGCTGTCTAGAGGTGAGGGCAGACATGCTGTGTGTGGTTCTGTGGAATGTGACCGTGCTGGGTAGGGACCAGAGAAGAGTCGGTGGCCCAGGAAGGTGAGGAGTGAAGGCTGAGTATGGGGATGATGGGAGTTGGGGTGCACTGCACACTAAGGCCTTGACGAAAGGTCAGTGGGTTCCCCAAGAACAAGGGACGGAAATCACAGGAGAGTTTGGGGCTGGTCTGCAGATATCCGTTATGTTCCGAGTTTCCTGGAGAAGACTCTGTGGACCAAACAGAGTTTACATTCCTCTCTCTGGCCCCGGACATGGCAGGGAGGCAAAGGGGAGAAAATAAATTTTGTTTCCTTTTGACAAAGGGGAATAGTGGTGGTGTTAAACCTATTTTCTTCCTGTTAATGTCTGTAATGTCCTAGTTATTCATTTAAAAGATATTCAAACTGGAGTAATAAATTATGTTAAACGATAAATAAATCATTTTATTTTTCAGATCTGCTTTGCCTTTGGAAATGCACTCCACTTAGAGGTAAGGAACCATGTACAGTGCTCTGCATTTTTATAGAAAAGACCTCATACATGTGCAACCCTGTGGTCGTAAGGAAAGACCACGGAAGGTACTCATTCATACACTTGTTAACAGTGACTCTGAGGTGTGAGTGAAAATGAAGAGGGAAATTTTATACTTTTACATTGTAAACTTTAGTGTTATGTAATGTTTTGTTACATAATTTAATTTTTTAAGTTATAGAATTTTTCAACTAAAAGCAAAGAAAAAATTAATGACCTAGAGATAAGCAGTGTAAATATTTCTAAATAAAATACCTGTTATATAGAACTACAAAATTAGGAAGTGAGAAACCTAGTAGAATAATCATTTCTAATTTTAAGACACTAGGTCAGTTGTATTGAGATTTTCCTTGGATAAAACCTATATTTGTTAAAGAACAATTGAAAATTTATACAATCATTTTCCACGTAAAGGTTCTAAAAACAAAATATGGGCAATTTAAACTTTGACCCCATCATTAAAACAATGAATTCATTAATTGACACTTTCACTACTTTTAGTCAAATTAAGATCAATAGGTTACTAACATTTAGTCTTAAAACATTTAGTAATTTATTTTTAAAGAATAAGCTACCACAGAAACACTGAACTTCATTTCCCATTAGTAAGAAAAATTCATGTTAATTTGAATGTGCTTATTTGTAAGGTCACTAAGTTATTCTTTAACCTTTTAAACTCTTCACTCTGGGAAATCTTTTCTTTCTGATAAAAATGAAACCCCAGATGCTATCCTGGTTTGGAGACAATCTGTTGAACTCCTATAGAACTTGCTAGAGTACATACACATTTCCTCCATGAAAAGGAAGTGTGTTAATAAATATGAAATTTATACCTTGAAATGTGCACAACTTTCTTTAAAATTCTAGTGAACTCCGTGGTACCGTCCTGACGTCTTAGGCACTGAATCACTTGTTGGCAATGTGTTGTTGCAGACCTTACCCCGCAGAAGCCAGCATGAGCCTTCTAAGCACACTCACCTGGTGCGGCAGAAGCGAGCCTGGATCACGGCCCCTGTGAGTCTGCGGGAAGGAGAGGATCTGTCCAAAAAGAATCCCATCGCCAAGGTACTTCCTAAAGAGGAATAGAAAGCACGTGCATGTTACCAAAATGTGCCAGAAGACTGTGTGTCCACTTTCAATTTAAGGAAGATTCTATAATGTACTTAATGAGGTTTTTTTTTTTTTTTTTTAATATTGCAGATGTATTTGAAAATTAGCAAAGCTTAATTTTTAGCAGGAACCTCTAGTTTTAAGATCTTCTTTCTTATCATATTCACCAATGTCACCCCAATAAATTTAACTTAAAAAAAATAGAAACCCACACCCAAAGCCTATATGATGATGTCTCCCAATAAATTTAATTATAAAAAACAACTTCCTCTTTCCCATTCTGGAAGATGCGCCATCATTGGTGAAGATACTAGGATGTGTGTAATTTGGGGCTTTGATTAAATTAAGAGTTCAGGGACCTAGCACAGGTTGAGTCTCCGTATAACAGGTTACAATAATCAAAAGAAGTATCATATGCTTGGGAGGAAACGTTGTTTTTCCTGCTACCCCCCTGGGTTCTCGGACAAAAGAAAAATTACCAGGAGAAGAGTACACGTTTATTGATGTGTGTGTCATGCATGTAACACATAGGAGTATCCAGAGATGAGTAACTCCAAGGTCTGGTTGGAATTTGGCGTCTTAGGAAAGGAACATTAACTCTTAGAGAAGTGACGAGGCAGGAGAAGGGCCTGGGGTTGTGGGCAGCCCCTGGGGGCAGACAGACACATGGGGGTGATGGCAGAAAGCCTCGCCAGTCAAGTGTGTTATGTGGAGTCCTTGTGCCATCTCAGTACTGAAAAGAGTTGTCAGTGAGGATTGACTTTTGTCCTTGGTAGAGAGGAGAGAGAGAAAGAGACCACCTTTACAAATTTATGTTCTGCGTTTAGACAAACGGGGAGGGCAGAGAGCTTTTTTAAATTCACTTCTTCTCAATTGCCTTCAGCTCAAAATAAACCTACACCAAGGTGGCATATTTGGGAGTGGCATATTCTGTTCCCGCACACATGAGGACTAATTTTCAAAAGGAAAAACGATAGCGAATAGATAGGGTGACCATCTATCCAGCCTGAGACAGCCTCCGCTAATGCCGCTGTCCTGGCCCAGTAGTTAATAACTCCCTTTTCGCTCTCAGCATCCTATTTCTTTATGGTTCTATGTCATGTGCGAGCCTGAGCCCCTGATTGTTTTCCCTTAAAGGTGCTCTAAGTTCTCCCCATGTCAGTGAATGGCACTATCATTCCGTCCAGCTTTTTAAAATGTAGCAGGTGTTATGAGCTTTACCCGGAGATACATTCCGGATCTGCCCACTCCTCTCCTCTGCCACCCCCGTCCAAGTCAGTGTCATCTCTGACTCGTCTTCCCCAAAAAGTCTTGACCCTGTGTCCCTGCTCTCACTCTGGCCACCCCCATGCCAACCCCGACCCCCACCACAGTTCATTCTCCCTAAAGCAGCCAGAGTGATGGGTGAAAAGATAAATCAAAGCATGCTCCCCTTCTTCGTGAGGCCTTTTCAACTGCTTCCCTTGGGATTTATTGGCCTTGACCTCCTCGCTGACCTCAGCTCTTACCAGCCGCATCCCCCACTCTGCTACACCCCTAACTGATCTAACTCATTCCACATTCAGCCCCTCCCCCTCTCCCTTCCGCTCCCTCTCCTGGAAGCCCGGCCCCACGGGTGTCTGCAGTGTGGGGTCCTCAGGGCTCCTGTCCTTGCCTCACCCTGTCCCTCTGTCCCATCCCTGTGTCGCTTGGTTTATGGCGCAGACACATCTAAACTTGACTTCCAGTCTGAGACACGTCATGCATGACAAGCTCCCCCATTTCACAGCAACAGGTCAGGAGAAAGCCTTCTAAAACCCAGATTTGTGATCCAGGCGCCACATCTCAGCAACTGAGTTTAGAGTTTTGATTTGGTTTGGTAGTGGTTTGGTTTTCTGAGATATCTGAGTCATTCACACATTCTTTCATTATGTTTCCCTTAAACGCATCGGTTCTTTGGGGTTCAAAATGCATTAAGTATTCTTACTGATTTTAATTATATAAGTCGTTAAGAATAAAATTTACATCAAGAGGAAAAAATCTTATTAAACTTCCCCAACTTCCCAAACTCTCCATCTAGAGATAATATCCCCTTGGTGTTTTTATGCTAGATACATTCTGATATTGCAGAAGAAAGAAGAATAAAAATTACATACAAATACACTGGAAAAGGCATCACGGAGCCTCCTTATGGCGTGTTCGCCTTTGACAAGAACACGGGGGAGCTGAACGTCACCAGCATTCTCGATCGAGAAGAAACGCCCTATTTCCTGGTGAGATCAGGCTTCCGTTTACTAGTTTGGAGTTGTATCTTGGGTAACTGTCACGATTCGCTTTATTATTTTTTGATGCCATGGCAGGTCATTGGCTCAGCTTGAATCTAATCTCTTCTGTTACGTGTGCCACCATTTCAGCTCGTTGGTTATGCTTTGGATGAAAGAGGCAACAATCTGGAGAAGCCGCTGGAACTGCGCATTAAGGTTCTGGATATCAACGACAACGAGCCCGTGTTCACCCAGGACTTGTTTGTCGGGGCCGTGGAAGAGCTGAGCGCAGCACGTAAGTGGCCGCTGTTTGATGAATGAATGCCTGACGGCACTGTAACCGCTGAGGGGCTGCACGCGACTCCTGTGACTCCGGGGGCTGAGGATTAGCCACAGGACAAAGGGTAGCAAGCCTGTTGCTCTGGGGGCAGGACTGGCTTTTTTGTCATCCATTCTAAAGACTTTACAGGACACGTTTTATGGTGGATAGCTGTGACATGGTGGATCTCTGTATCAGCTACTCTGCCTTGTAGCAGAAAAGCAGCCATAGAAAATATGTAAACAAATGGGCATGGCTGTGTTCCAATAAAATTTTATTTACAAAACTGGTGGCTGATTGGTCTTGTCCGCTGGCAGTATTTGCTGACCTTTGACTCGTGTTATTCCTACTGTCAGGTTCACTAGTATCATTCAATAGAGTGCTCTACATGAAGGCTTATAGGAGAGATTTCTTTTTTAAAAAATATTTTTTATGGTTTCAGAGAGATAGAAATACCAATGAGAGAAAATCATCAATCAGCTGCCTCCTGCACACCCCGTACTGGGGACCAGTCTGCAACCTGGGCATGTGCCCTGACCGGGAATCAAACTGTGACCTCATGGGTCCTAGGGCCATGCTCAACCACTGAACCACACCAGCCAGGCAAGACATTTCTCTTTGATCGTAGTCTGAAGAGCAGCTGTGCTTCTCCTGAATTATTTGTATTTTAATAAGCATCTGTTTGTACCGGTTCATTCTCCTTTTTTTATTAGAATTATTATAAATAAGTCTGTGGCCCTCCTGTGGCAAGTGTTAGGGACTTCACCCTAAGAATTGTATGCACTAACGTTGGTCCTGCCTTTTCCTTTTCTTTCTCCTACAATCCATTCACACTTGTTTCCTCGTCCAGTTCAGTTTTTTGATCTTGGTAAACTGAGGTTTTGATAAACAGCTGAAATCCTTCTTGGAAGAAGCTGAATATACAATAACATACGTGCACGTGGTCACGGCTGAGTTTCATTCTGGATGCCTCTGTTTCTAACGCCAGATACCCTGGTGATGAAAGTCAACGCGACAGACGCAGATGAGCCCAACTCCATCAATTCTAAAATCTCCTACAAAATCGTATCCCAGGAGCCTGCTTACCCCGCCATGTTCTACATGAACAAAGACACGGGAGAGATTTATACAGTCACTAATACCTTGGACAGAGAGGTACGTGAATATTTCCTGTTGCTCATCTTTTAAACTCTCCTTTATTCTGGCAGGTTCTCCTCTCTGTTTCTCTTTTTGGTTTCCTTACTTTGTTGTGTATTTCTAGTTCCTAGGCTAACTCTGGCATTATCCCCTCCTCGGGGTGTGCTGTCCCATATGGTAGCCACTAGCCATATGTGGTCTTTGGCACTTGAGATGTGACTGGTCCAAACTGAGTTGTGCTTCAAAGATAAGATGCACCCAATTGGGAATACTTAGTATGAAAAAGGAATGTAAAATGCCATCTTAATAATTCTTTGTTGATTACATTTTGAAATAATATTGGATATACAATAGATTAGATAAAATATATTTTAATATTAACATCAGGATTTTTTATTTTTATGTATTTAATTATTTATTTATTTAACTTTTTTGAATGTGGCTGCTAAAAGATTTAAAATTGTCAAGGACAGCCCGGGTTCCTCAGTCTGCAGTCTGTAAAGAAACACCAGGTCTCCTCCCTGCTCAGCAATATGCCTCGGGAGGCAGAAAGGCAGAGTGGCAGCCCGTGACAGAACCCTTTGTAAATCCCAAAGTGGGAGAAAATCGGAGTAGGTTTCCTACTCTCTCAAACATTTCACATTTTTATTTCTAATTGAAAGGAGAAATTTCAAAAGAAAAAAGAGATAGGGAAGATTTTACAAGAGCTGCACACATGAAGATTTCAACAGTGTGCAAGAGTGAAATGGTGACGACCCTAAGAACACTGAGTTGTCATAAACCACCACCCGAGTGCAGTCAGGATATTTTGCATCTCTTAGAAGGTGATTTCACTCTGCCCAGAGGGACAGGGCTGTGCCCAATGTTCCTCCTGAGATCTTGGAAGAATTCAAGAATGTTATTGCTCTTAAACTGCTACTCTATACCTCCCAACAAAATTAGAATGGGAAAGTATCATTTGTTTTAATAAGCTGCTGTCCCTGAAGTATGGAAAGGTCAGCCCATATGGCCCGGGTGCCCCACACCTTTTACGTAGATGAACCCATCAATCAACCTAGAAATCCTGTGTGGCAGATCCATGCATTCTCCACCCCCATGTTCACAGAAGGACGCGGGGCTCAAAGGAAGTGAGGGTATCCAAACCGCTGGGAAGTGACGGCCAGCACTGGAGCCAGGCACAGCCTCTGCCCTCCTGGCACTGATTCTGCCCGCACAGCCACCCACACACGGTGCTGGCTCCCCCCACTACCCGCCACCCGCCACACAGGGGAGATGCTGGGGGCCAAGGGGAAGAGCAGGGCTTATGTGAGGTGAACATCGGAGATGTCGCTCTCTAGGGCACCTTCTCTAAGAATCAGATCCCTCGGGATGTCCGGACAAAGGTCAAGGTCAACAAGTTTGGCCTTCACTGGCCAGCTTTTCCTGGAGACCAGCTCTCTGGCTAACTGTGAGCTGACAAGGAAGTGTGAGGTAGAAAGAACCGGTCCCTGTATCCCCGCCATCACTTCCGAGGTGGAGAGTACACTGTGAACAGCACTCAGCACAAACTGTGTAAGGAGAGACTCATCTCCTGATAGCATCACCAGTGACACGCTAAGACACTGACTGCTATCACCCATGAATGTGTTTTAAAAACTGACTAATATCAGCAGTGACATGTTTAAGAAATAGACTAATATCACCACTGACATGCTTAAGAAATAGACTAATATCACCACTGACATCTTTAAGAAACTGACTAACATCATCAATGACACATTAAAGAAATTGACTAATATCACCAACTACATCTTTAAGAAACTGACTATCAGCAACTCCTCCAGGCTCCTATGCCCCTTCTGGGAAATCTCTGACAGCAAATAAACATCTTCCCACGAATACAGCAGATCCTGAAACTTACTGATGAGTGCATTGCACTGCGGGGCATTTTCTTGATGGGGACGTGACTAAAAGCAGGAAGGCAGGTTGGAGGGTTGATGCTCACCCGGGGTGTTTGCCTTGCCCTGCAGGAGCACAGCAGCTACACTCTGACGGTGGAAGCCCGAGACGGCAACAAAGGAGAAATAACAGATAAGCCCGTCCAGCAAGCTCAAGTTCAGATCCGAATTTTGGATGTCAATGACAATATACCCATGGTGGAGAGTCAAAGGGTAACTACTGTTTTTATAACCAATGGTTCCACTTATTCATATGTTGGTTTTGCCTAAAAATGTGCGGCGTGTGTGTATGTGGCATTGACATGAAAATCCTGTGTCCCGACTTGCAGTTTGAAGGGCTGGTTGAAGAAAACCGAGTCAATGTGGAAGTGATGCGCATCAAAGTGCTGGACAAAGATGAGAGAGGCTCGGATAACTGGCTGGCCAACTTCACGTTTGTGTCAGGAAATGAGAAGGGTTATTTCCGCATAGAAACTGACAATCAAACGAATGAAGGAATCGTGGTCCTCGTTAAGGTAAGTACTGTGTATGCAGCCCTCTCCCTAGAACACACCCATGGAGCCAGTGTCCATCAACTTCCTTAAGAAATCACTTCAAATTGTTCAGAATAAATGTTTTTAAATGACACTGACCTTTAAAAAAAATTGGGGATGTTTCCTAGTCATCCTTCACAGTTACAAATTCCCACGTTGGCAGATTTTTAAACGCATGTTATCAAGATGAATTCAAATACTCAGGGCTGCTGTGTTAAACTGTCCTATCCAACATTAAAATCATACGTGGGTGCATGCGCGCGTGTGTGTGTCTGTGTGTGTGTGTGTGTGTGTTGTGTGTGTGTGTGTGTGTGTGTATTCTAGTTCTCTCTTTTGAACAGTTCCCTTTGATTTTGCCTGGCTAGGCATTAGATTATGAAGAAATGAAGCATCTTGACTTCAGCATCGTTGTCACGAATAAAGCCTCTTTCCACAAGTCAGTGAAGAATAAGTACAAGCCGACATCCATCCCCATCACAGTGAAGGTGAAGGACGTGAAAGAAGGCATTCACTTCAGAAGCAGCACCATCTCCGTCCGCACCAGCGAGAGCATGGAGAAGACGAGCCTGAGCCAAGTGATTGGGAAATTCCAGGCTTTTGACGAGGACACCGGACAAGTGGCCCGCGCAAAGTAAGAGATGGCGGCGCACAGAGGGGCCGTGGTACATTCCTCCCAGCGCCTGTCTGCCACAGATCACAGTGAAGGGTGACATTCACTTCTTCCCACCCAGCACTGTGACTCCCCAGCGGCCTGTACATGACCCTCCCAGAGCTGAGCCTGCAACCGAGAGGCCGGCAGAAAGTCCCCTGGCCCGTTCCCTCCACCCGAGTGTGAGGCAGGCCTGGTCCCTGCCTCGGAGAATTCTGGCTAGCGAGGCTGAAAAACGGCCAAGGAAGAGCAAATTTTATTGCAGATTCCACTAGATGCCAGGCTGGTTAGAAGAAATAGTTGCTGCATGGATTTCAATGTGGAGAAACCAGTTTCACTGGCACATCCATCCTGGAGGCAACTCCTCCTGGAAGCCATGCCTTTGGTGCCGGGAGGGAGGAGCCTTTGACGGTCTGGGTCATGGTGGCTTTTATCAGATACTGGATTGAGAGCCCACCAGATGGCACCACTGTGCCCTCCGGAAGGGGCTGGGCTGTGCCCCCTTAGAGCAACCCCTTAGGTTTGCACAATAGGTTAAAATTTCAGAGTAAATGTGCATCTTAGATCGCAGGTCCATGCCATAGAAGATGAATCTGCAGAACGGTTCCCGATGGCAGAGCCCAGGCGGAGGTACTCGGGGGGAATTTAAAGAACCCGCCTGCCACCCAGACCACAGCCTGCCTGCTGTCAGCCAGGTTATTCGGTTGCTTAGTGTCCTTGTGCCTGAGAACTCTGGCCTTAGCGTCCCTGGGTACCAGCACTTTATAAAGCAATGTGTCACGTGCGGTCAGCCACCGCAAGAATGCTGGATGCCCTGCAACAGTCTCTTTCCTTTGGGTGACTTCTTTTCTAAAAAATATATTTTCATTGATTTCAGAGAGGAAGGAAAAAGGAGAGACACAAATACCAATGATGAGAGGGAATCATTGATTGGCTGCCTCCTGCACACCCCACGCTGGGGATTGAACCCACAACTGTGGCATGTGCCCTGATGGGGATTAATCCGTGAGCTCTTGGCTCATAGGTCGATGCTGGAGCTTGGTAACTTCTAACGGACTTCATCATCCAAGAGGAGCAGATTGCCTTTTCCCAAAATAAAGTTAGCCAACGGCCTCTGCTGTGTTTTCTGCAGTGTGTTGGTGACCTCATTTTGCCCGCCGTACTTGCGGGAACCACCCTGCTTCTTGGGAGTTTTGTGTCTATATTTCCACGGCTCCGACCCTCACGAGGCTGTCCCTAACAGGATCCCCCGCCCTGAGGATGCATGCTGTGTGACCATTTCTCACGGCTGCCCACTGAGAGGCTTACATGTTCTAACCATTAGCCTGCAGTCATACTGCGCTATGTATTGAAACTTCTATTTCCCACCTATTTAACTTTAGCTGCTTTTTAATTAAGGGTGATAAATATATCAAAATATATGTTCTGCCTGGAGAAAATAATGAGCCATGTTCCTTATTTCTCAAAAGGATTTTCTCTTTTTCTTTAGCATGCACTTACAGAACTTCAGTGTGAGCAAAAGCTTCAAGATGGGCTCAGACCTACTGTTTGTACAGATAAGGGAGGGATGCACAACTCAATTAAACAATTTCCTAATGTTCCCCCGGACTAATCGGTGGTTGCTATTAGAAATGCTGACAGGGACAGAAAAATTACTTCGTTAACTTTGTCATAATTTACTGTTTTACTGATCATCCATATGCATCCACTGCTTATCGATATTCGGCATAACATGTGAGCTGCCATCCTACTTTGACTGGTGTCTGTAATTTCTACCATAGAGAAGAGAGAAAATTCCATAAATGAGAGATCACATACATGGGAAATGTGACCCTCCTTACTAAGACTCTGCCTGCATTATTATAACTGAATGTGGGAAACCATTGACAACAGGTTAGGCCAGGCTTTAAAATTCTAGACATGAAATTCAGAAGTACTTGTGAAAATCTAAATGTATCATCCCTAATTGGTAGGAATATTAAAAAGCAGAAATTTAGGTTAAAGTGTAAAATTGGAATTTTTTAAATAGCAATGTAGACAAGTATTGCTATAAATTAGCAAACAGCCACTTAACAGAAAACAAACTATCAATCTGGTTAATTGAACCAAATACTCATTGGCTTATGTTTGGATTCGGTTATTGGTAAACTCAATGGTATTGAATTACATCCATTTCTGAAGACATAATATGAAAGTTCTCCTCGCCTCTCCCAAAGTTACCTCTTTCCACACTAATTCCCCTGCTTTGAGGGAAGAAACCCAGAAATCACTTCATGTTTTCACTCTGAACCATTTCCACCTGGAAGAAGCCTTATTGCTCTTAGCAATCAACAATATTCCAAAATGGTGAAGTGCTCCATTGAAGGCAGCCATGGATGTTTAAAAGTGGTCTTTTTAAACATTGATGATAATATGATGCCAACAAACAACAGCATGTGAGAGGACTCTTCCCCATCAGCTCTCGTTGGGTAACGACACCTTTCTCCGAAGGTTTCCCCCGACCTCGGGGAGAGCAGACTGGGAGCTGGGAGACAGACCGTGACCCTCCGCCGAGCGGGCAGAGGCTGGCCACCCTCCTGTCTGTCCTGAGTTACAGGAACAGGGAAGGTTCCAGAATAAGTGGTGTGTGCAGCCAAGAGAGGGGCTTTTAGGATAGTTTCAGGAAATTAAAAACATTTGAAATTAATGCCTGTAACATGAACATATACAATGAAGCAAAAGTTAAACTTGAAAGACTTCGTAAATATTAGAGACACAGCTTCTCCAGAATTCAAAATTGATTTGTGTTTGTCTTAAACAGGTATACCAAATTGGAAGATATAGACAACTGGATCTCTGTGGATTCTGTCACATCGGAGATTAAACTTGTAAAATTTCCCGACCATGAATCCAGATATGTCAAAAATGGCACATACACTGTAAAGATTTTAGCTGTCTCAGAAGGTAAGTTATTAAATAGCTATTTCTTTGCTTATATGTGGTTTGATGTTATTTTCCAACATCACAGACCTTCCTTTTGCTCTTACAGAAAAAACAGCTCTCTCCAGTGGAGAAATTTTCACATTTCTACTTATCTCACAGATTAAAAGATATTATGTGATCTACGGAAAATATCTAGGATAGGAAGTGTCCTCATTCGTTAGGACCTTCTTATGGAAATGGCAAGAAAATTCTAACTATGCTTGTTAACAGCAATAGAATCAGAATTTACGTATTGTTTCCTTCCCTTTCTTTAAGATACTCCTAGAAAAACCATCACAGGCACTGTTGTGATCAACGTGGAGGACATCAACGACAACTGCCCCACCCTGGTGGACCCGGTGATGAACGTGTGTGACGACGTGCAGTACGTGAACGTGACCGCCAGGGACCTGGACGGGCACCCCAACAGCGACCCGTTCACTTTCGCCATCGTCGACAAACCAGCTGGCATGGCAGAGGAGTGGAGGATCGCGCACAAAGAGGGTAAGCCAAGCCACTGGCTGACAGATCGAAGTGTTACACCAGACAAATGGGAAACCTTTACGCTAGAGGCTGGGTCTCTTTTAGCAATTATACTAGAGGCCTGGCGCACGAATTCCACTTAGCTCACCACGCGTGTCACTATGTTCCCGGTACATAAAACAGTTGATAGCATTTGGCAACCCACACACATTTGTGAAGGCTGATCATCGAAGGTAAGGCAGGTCTAACGCCTGTTCTTTGCTCTTCCCCCACGTATTTGGAGCGTCTGGACTAAACAAGAAATTAGACCAAACCCTTTCATACCAGCATGCCAGCCCACCTCTGGGTGTCTCCAAAAGTGGATAGTTTCACCTTCCCTCCCCCGAAAGGGAAAAAAGAAATAGAGCCATGAAGAAAGGATGGCGCTTCTAACTGGTGCTCAATACTGTTGGCCACTAAAAACCGTTTCTAGCCCAGCCAGTGTTGCTCCGTGGTTGAGCATCAACCCAGGCACCAGTGCCATTCCCAGGCAAGGGCACATGCCGGGTTGCCGGCTGGCTCAATCCCCAGCCGGGGGTGGCAGGAGGCAGCCAATCAACGTTGATGTTTCTCTCTCACCGATGTTTCTCTCTCTCCTTTCCTCTCTCCCTGAAATCAATAGAAACTTGCTTTAAAAATAAAGTGTTTCCATACTCCATACTGCCTTCCTGGGTAATCACTCATTTCCGTTCCCTGCCTCTCCCCGCAGGCACCAGCGTGCTGCTGCAGCCTCGCGAGCTGAAGCCCGGGAGAAGTGACATCCAGCTCCTGATCGCAGACAACCAGGGCCTGCGCTGCTCCGAAAAGCAGGTCCTCAAGCTCACGGTGTGCAAGTGCCTGGACGGCAGCGGCTGCGTGGAATCACTGCGCGGCGCCTACGTGGGCCTGGGGCCTGCAGCCATCGCGCTCATCATCCTGGCTCTGCTGCTCCTGCTGCGTGAGTGCTGGGTGGCTCCTCGGCCACTGGGCTTCCCGGGCTGGGACCAGAGTGGTCGGCCACTGGGCTTCCCGGGGCTGTGAATAGTGAAGACTGAATTCCAGGAAGGGATATATGCAAATTCCAAAATCATATGGCACATTTAACATTAGCCGGGCTAACGCTTTGTGCTTGTTTTGTCCTGCGCAGTTGTGCCGCTCCTGCTGCTGATGTGGCAGTGCGGGGAGGGCGCCAAGGGCTTCGCGCCCATCCCGGGCACCGTGGAGATGCTGCACCCCTGGAACAGCGAGGGGGCGCCGCCTGAAGACAAGGTCAGACCGTCTTTTCCGATTCAAAGGGCCTGGGAAGTGTTTCTAACATGTTCGGTCATGGGAGAGGAGCGTGGTCCTTACGGCGTCCATGCCTTTGAATGAACATATTCTGTGTTCCTTGCCAGGCCAGAGCGGAGAGGCTTTGGTGTGCGTGGCAGCTCCTGGTTACAGAGAGTGTAGGAAAGGAGTCAGGTCGTGACACGGGGAATGCAGAACAAAGGTTAGAGAGAACAAGAGTGTAGAGATTTAGGGTGAAAATATTTCTCATCACCAATGTTAAATGGGCAGTTCTCACAACCAGATGTTCCTGCATTTTCATTTCCTCAGTTCGTAGGGCTGGCAGAGGTAAGCCCACGCCCATTAGAGTTGTAAAAGGTTGTGAAACCCCCCATTCTACCTACTTGATAGCATCGCCTGTAAATATCTTGGGCAATCCTGCTAGCGGTTCTCAACCTGTGAGTCCCGACCCACAGGTTGAGAGCCGCTGCTGTAGAGCCTGAGACCATCAGAAAACACGGATATTTACTTTACAATTCATCACAGTGGCAAAATGACAGTTGTGAAGTAGCAACGAAAATAATTTTACGGTAGGGGGTCACCACACCATGAGGAGCTGTATCAAAGGGTCGCGGCATTAGGAAGGCTGAGAACCACTGATCTGGACACTAACTGCTGTCCCCACATTCCCGAAAAACATTCTCCTAAGACAGACGCGTCCTCCCTGCCTGCCTGAAACCCCATCCCGCAGCCTTAGTCAGGGGGCCCTGTCTACCAGCAGTGGAGGCTTAAAGCAGAATCTGTCTTTGCGATGACCACGTGTCCAGCTAGACAAAAATAACAGTTCTACCATCATAAAGAAGGCTTTAAACTCAAGGAAAGTTGGAATGCAATTGGTACCAACAGAGTAAATGAGCCAAGCAGTGTCCCCTCAGGAGTTCAACCACCCACTATTACATGCACTGACCACCAGGGGGTGGCACGAAACAAAGGAAGACCCTGGCCAGCAGCCAGCAGCCAGGGAAGGGAGGCCTCGGCCAGTAGCTGGAAGGCCCCCATGGGTCCTGATCGCCGGCCAGGCCTAGGTACCCTACCCATGCATGAATTTCGTGCACTTGTCCTCTAGTATTTAAGTAAATTTTGTTTTCTCCTTGGATCACAATCATCTAAAAAAAAAAAACCAGGAAGGTAGAAGGGGGATCTTTAGAAGACCCAAGGACAAGTTATTCAACCCAAAATCATTTTCCAAATTTGTTTCTGTGGAAAGAGCTTATTGTGTACGAGGTAGCTCAGACCCTTCACCCCTCTGACTCAGTCTCCACTGCACTTGCCCTCCCAGGTGGTGCCTTCGCTGCTGGCAGCGGATCACACGGAGGGCGTGGCCGTGGGCGGCGCAGCGGGAGGCCTGGCAGCCAAGGAGACCGCCGTGAAAGGAGGCAGCTCGGCTTCCTTCTCCAGAGTGCAGCAGGACATGTCCGAGGTGGACGGGCGGTGGGAGGAGCACAGGAGCCACCTCTCCGGGGGCACCACCCAGGTCACGGGGACGGCAGGGGCAGGGGCAGGAGCCCTCCGAGGCGGCGGCGGCGGCGGCGGCGGTGAAACCATCAGGACCAGCAGGGCCACGGGGATCTTCAGAGACATGGCCGGAGCTCACGCGGTGGCTGGCGCCATGAGTGAGGAATTCTTAGGAAGCTATTTCGCTGAGGTAGGTTGGGAGGAAAGCGTGTGTATGTGAATGTGGTGTGATCAGGCTGATTATTGCCTGGGATCTGGGTGGCACTCTGTCGTTCCTTTTCGTAAAGAGACTGCAGACAGGTAACGAGGGAAGAGAGATGCAACCCACTGAACCAGTCCGTCAGCTGACTTACGTAGTGGCCACCAATGACCCCAGTCTTTCTTTTTTTTTTCCAATATATTTTTTATTTTTTAATATATGTTTTTATTGATTTCGGAGAGGAAAGAAGAGGCACAGAGAGATAGAAACATCAATGGTGAAAGAATCATCGATCAGCTGCCTCCTGCACGCCCCTTCCTGGGGATGTGCCCGGAACCCAGGCAGGTGCCCTGACTGGGAATTGAATCATGACCTCCTGGTTCATGGTCAACACTCTATCGCTGAGCCACGGCGACCGGGCTCACACGCTGATACTTCCTAAGCCTGCTGGCCAGCGCGCTGTCGGGTCCGTCAGTGTGGGCATCTAATGCTTCCTTGCCATTCGCTCGAGGAACACATACAGTGCTTTGGGCAGGAACACATGTAATCTCGTCCTTAAACGAGGGGTGTCACTAACCCCACGCCTGCGTGTCCCTCCAGAAAGCGGCCTGTTACACGGAGGAGGACGACGGCCAGGCGGGCAAGGACTGCCTGCTGGTGTACTCCCAGGAGGACGCCGTGTCGCTGCACGGCTCCATCGGCTGCTGCAGCTTCATTGAGGGCGAGCTGGACGACCTCTTCCTGGATGACCTGGGGTTCAAGTTCAAGGCCCTGGCTGAGGTCTGCCTGGGCCGGAACATAGACGTGGGCCTGGAGGGGGAGCAGAGGCCAGTGCCCGTGAGGGGAGCGGCTGCCCTCGCCCTCTCGGAGCTCCACTCGGAAAGCACCTTCTCCGCGGCGGGCAGCCTCCAGGGGCCCGGGCCCGGAGTGGGGGCGGAGGCAGTGGCCCAGGAGACGGCCACCCGGCGGGCCGTGTCCACGCAGGGCCGGCAGGGGGCTGCCCAGCGCCACGACGCGCTGGCTGCGGGCAATGTCATCGTGACGGAAACGGCCTTTGCCACGGGCCCCGGGGGGCCGCCCCCCGTGGTCCTGGGCCCCCGGCAGCCGCAGGGCCTCATTGTGACGGAGCGGGTGTACGCGCCGGCCGCTGCCATGATGGACCAGCACCGCGCCGGCCAGCACTACACTGCCGAGGGCAACGTCACGGTCACCGAGCGGGTCATCCAGCCGAGCAGGGGCCTGTCCGGTGCCCTGGAAGGCGCCCCGCACCTGCAGGATGGACACTACGTGATGGTGAGCGAGCGAGAGAGCTTCCTGGCCCCCAGCTCGGGCGCGCAGCCTGCCCGGGCCCAGGCCAGCGAGGCAGGTGGGCGCAGTGTGACCGTGACCGAGAGGGTGCTGACCCCCGCTGCCACCCTGCAGTCCAGCACCCCGATGGCCGCTGAGACGGCCGTGACGGCCAGACGGACTGTGGTCTCTGGAGCGGCAATCCCTGGCCCTCCACCCAGTTTCAGCTCCGAGGAGTCTGGCTGCACTGTGACCACCGCCTCCACCAGGGTCTCCAAGCGCAGCACCGTGCAGCACTCCTACGCCTGAGCAGCCAGCCCCTGCGCCCTCACCCCTGCACCTGAGCACCCAGCACCTGCCGCCCTCACCCCTGCACCTGGGCACCCAGCACCGCCGCCCCCACCCCTACATCTGGGCACCCAGCACTGCCGCCCTCACCCCTGCACCTGGGCACCCACCACTTGCCGCCCTCACCCCTGCACCTGGGCACCCAGCACCTGCCGCCCTTACCCCTGCACCTGGGCAGCCAGCACCGCTGCCCTCACCCCTGCACCTGAGCATCCAGCACCTGCCGCCCTCACCCCTACACCTGACCGGCCAGCACCTGCCGCCCTCACCCCTACACCTGACCGGCCAGCACCTGCCGCCCTCACCCCTACATCTGAGCACCTAGCACCTGCCGCCCTCACCCCTGCACCTGGGCAGCCAGCCTGAGAAGCCTGCAGTCTCCCAGAGGCCTTCCCTGAGCCTCCTGGACGGGAAGCACGCACACAGCCGAGTGTCTCAGCCGCCAACAGACGGCAGCTGCTGGCTCGGCGTCAGGAGAGCCTTCAGAACAGCTCCGGGACTAAGTGAGCTGTGGCCACACGACCGTCACAAAGCAAGCGGAGGAGAGAGGAAGCCTGGCCTCAGGGTTTGCCAGGTTCACACCAGCGCCTCAGGTCAGCAGCACACAGTGAGCCAGGAAGCCATGGACTCCAGCGCTTGTTCCACAGCCGCCCTCCTGCACCTGCCACGGTGCTCACTCTCCCCGGTGCACAAGGCTGGGCGGCCAGCGAAGACCAGAGGTCTTCCCATCTGTGTCAGGGGCTGAGTTCTGGTGCACTGACATGCTAAGAACACATTACATGTTTCTGTGCATATAACTGTGTATGATTGTGTGTGTTGTATGACCTGAAAAATAGCATTCTCCTTCCCCTTTGTCTCATTGATCAGGACGATATTGAATACTTCCAATTCAGTGGAGTTATCCAGGGGAAATTCATAACTGTAAAATCACTTTACTGTTGATAGTAATAATATACCGTACTATTTCTAAAACCTCAGGCGCTATTATCTTCTGACTTTGTTCAGCTAAATTCATCACAGCGCCATCCACATACGGTACAGAAAGAACCACACCCATTTGGGGCTCATATTTTATCCTCAGTGCCTAACACTGTGGTATAAACTAGGCTTTACAAGCCGCTCTCTTTAAAATCTCAAGAGACTGAAAGACCTTATAATTTACAGAATTATGAGTTTGAAGTTAGCATTTTATACTAGGTCTCAAAGTCATTGACTTGCCATTCATGACTTACTACATATTAAATATGTAACTGACATGAATTTGGGTAACACCCATGCCCTTTTTTGAAAAGTTATTTGGGTGTTTTGACCAAATAAATAGATTGTATTTTTACTGCTCCTTGAAAAAAAAAAATCCATTTCAGGTTTCAAAGTATATTTTCATATCAGCAACAATTTATATAAATATTCTCCACAATAAACAATCATTTTCAGGAATTTTAAATAATATGTAATTTTGTGATTGCTCAAGATATTTTGCTTAGAGAAATGAACCTTTAAACATATTATTTTTGTAGCACATTTATAGAAATTTTGACTTGAACTGTACTATGCACAAGACTGATACCTTTTGCTCCACTGACTATGAGTTTAGACACCATAAGTGCATGACCAAGGTGAAGGTCATTCTTCCACCATCTAAAGTTTTTACTCTCTACTTAATATTGCTGCTTCTTTTTATTATTATAGAGTTAGTAATTATATTTTGTCACGTTTGCGGCGGGAATAGAATGTAAACATGATCTAACTACTTGGAACAAACAAAACTTGGTCTTAAACTTCCGCACCCCCAGGGCAGGTGTGGGACCCTGGCCTGTCCATGTGTATAGTGTAAGTCACATCTGTAAATGGCTTTCTCTGTTCCCCAGAAGGGTGACTTGTATTAGTTTTTACATTTGTTCCTTGGGAGACTGTTTGTATGCACATCATCAAAATATTTAAATAAAGAATGGCTTTTAGAGCAGCTCTCTGCCCCATCTTTTAATTGCTCTGCGTATCTGACAAGGGATGTCGCTGGAGGGTAAAGGAGGGGGTGGCACCCTGAAGGCAGGCGCCTGTTTGGCATTTTAAACTGCTTCCATCCGGCCCAGCGCCCCTTGAAAGTGCCATTTCCCTTCTGACGTAGCACGGAACACAGGAAGGCCCGGTTACCTCTGAATTTCAGATCAATCACGAAGGGGGGTCGGGTTGTTTGTTTGCTTTTAATTATTGATTTTGAAAGAGACAAACACATTGATTTGTTGCCCCACTTAAACATTCATTGGTCGATTTTTAAAAAATATATGTTTATATTGATTTCACAGAAGGGAGAGGGAAAGAGATAGAAACATCAATGATGAGAATCATCCATCAGCTGCCTCCTGCACGCCCCCTACTGGGGATCAAGCCAGAAACCCGGAACCCCTCAGTCCACAGGCTGACACTATCCACTGAGCCAAACCAGCCAGGGCCATTGGTTAATTCTTGCATGTGCCCCACCAAAGATCAAACCCGAAACCTTGGCATCTCGGACAACACTTTAACCTACTGAACTCCCTGGCCAGGGCCGACAGTGTTTTAGTGGAAATCATCTGCTATCTGAATTCAGATGGAACTGGGCACTCCACTTCTGTTTGCCAAGTCTGCCAACCCTTTCTACAGAACTGCCCTTGGCTCTCGGTCCGGAAGGTAACGGGGAGCCTGCTGGGTTGGCTGATGGAAGCTTGAACCCCTGACCCAGAGAGAAGCCAATGTTTGAGATGCTGTCTGCCTAGCTTAGTGTAGTTTATAAGGGGAAAGATGAAAGGTTCTGCCTGTGCTATGATGTCACATTAATAAGAATCTACCTCCCCGGCTGAGACACCCTAACACGTGGAGGCTGGGTCCCATGGCTGGCCCCAGGGCTCCCCCCCAGGTGGCACACGGAATCAACTTCTGGTTGATTTCGCGAATCCACAGGCACTTTTCAATCATCACCACATCAAAATGTGTGCAAGAAAACGTTGCTTATCAGGTACCACTCAGAAGTGAGGGTTCAGATACAGCTACCAGATCTTTAAATGTTACTTCTTTAAACATACCAAAATTCCTTGGTTTCACTATTTTAGGAGCTCAGATCCTCTTTCATTACTGATTGACTTGATTTTTTTTTTTTTTGTCTGCCTTTTCCCTAAAGAGGGATGTTAAAATCCAACTGCTGTGCTTGCCCATTTCCCTTTTAATTCCCTCTGCTCCCTGTACTTTGAAACTTGTCATACCTGTTTATTAGCTACAAACACATTTAGGATTATTGTGTCTCCCCCATAACCTCCCTCCCCCAAAAAAATGGACCCTTTTATCATTACATAATATCTCTATCTCTGGTTATAGTCTTTGTATTGAATCTGCTTTGCTTAAGCATTAACATGGCCACAGCAGCTTTCCTGTACTTAGTGTTTGTACAGTGCATCTCTGATCCTTTACTCTCCGCCTGCCTATGCCTTCACCATGTGTTTCTGGTCCACGTTACCACGTCTGACGTTTAGTGGCCGGTTTCAGTCTGCGTAAAGCAGTGACTCTGGGCGAGTTTAAGCCTGCTCTCCTGGTGTTGGTTTCCTCTTGGTCCTGTCAGTTCCCCGTTTCTCTGCTGCTTTCCTGCCTCGCTTTGGGTGTGGTGTGTGCTAGGGTCCCGATGGCTCCCCTACTGACCTTTAAACTCTGCCTCCTTGTGTTTATTCTTCTGACCAGTTGCTCTGGTTATGGAACCGCAATCAAGAACAAAATCTCGCCGGGACCGGTTTGGCTCAATGGATAGAGCGTCAGCTTGGGGACTGAAGGGTCCCAGGTTCGATTCCGGTCAAGGGCATGTACCTTGGTTGTGGGCATATCCCCGGTGGGGGGTGTGCAAGAGGCAGCTGATCGATGACTCGCTCTCACCTATGTTTCTAACTCTCTATCTCTCTCCCTTCCTCTCTGTACAAAATCAATAAAATATATTTTAAAAAAAAAAAAAAAGAACAAAATCTCCTGCCCATTTAGAGAAGCTACACAAAGGTAGAAGAGAAAGAAAACAAGGCTATCACTGAACAAACAGCAAGCCAGATGACTCCTGCATCACTGGCCACCCATAAAGAAATCGCAGACAAAAACCTCGCCTTTCTCGGCAGCCAGGCTGACGCCACCCACTCCTTCCATGCCCACAAGGTCAAGGAGAACTTGGCCTCCAGCAAGACGTGCCTGCTCCGTAGCTCACCTTACATCCCCTGGTCACAGGTGGCCGCTATGTTTGCCGGTTCACCTCCTCATCTGTCGCCAGACTGAGAACCCCGGACCCCCTCCTGTGCAACATTCCAATGGATACTACATTCATGCAATGCTCTGGGGGGTGGAGTATCAGAACCACAGTCTCTAACCCTGGGCACACCAAACCCACAGCCTCGGGAGCATGGAGGTGAATGAGTGTCAGTCACTCTCTGGCCACTAGGTGGCATTATGCATGCAGCAAAAGAGTAAGTCCACCAGAACCAGGCATCCAAGCTAGGAGAGAGAGGGTCAAGCAACAAGAGAAACTTGCGAAGGCCAAATCCTTTGCTCACTGCCCTCCCAGGTGAGTGTGCTAGCTGCAGGACTGCCCGGGGATGCACCCAGTTCCGGACTGACGTCTAATAAACCTGCAGGCTCCTCTGGGGTAAAACAAGGCTCCTCTGGGGTAAAACAAAACAGGTCCTGAGCCTCTCCCGTACACAGTGCTGCTCCGGAGGGGCCGGCCCGGCCGACGGGCTTACACAGACGCATGCGGTCTGGCATGGCTGACTGTAAGAAGAGAGTTACTTTTCTGCCAACGAGAGATTCAACGAGGAGCAGGTGTGTGCCTCTCCTGGGCCTATGTCGCCGTGGGGGCGGTCGTGACAAACACTCGAATCTAAAACCAGCACAGCCTGTAACACACAAGCCATCAGAGACAGAGAACGCTGAGGCTGCCCGGAGATGGGTTCCTGCGTGGG